TAGTAGAGAGAGAATTCAAGCTTCTTCGTCTTCAGCCGGCTCCAAAGCCAAACCCCTCCATCAGTCCTGTAGACACACTTAACATTCAACAACATGAAAGCGTTCCATAGGATGGAGTGAATGGAGTGCTGCAAAGGAAGGGACATTCTCACACTAAAGATACTGGAAAGAACCTGGGGGACATCCTGCCAGAGGTTTCCCCTCTTGGACTGACTTTCTTGCGTAGATTAAGTTGCTCCTCATAAATTCTAAATCATCTCTACCACTCCCAGTTGAACAGAGGAGGGGAAAGGCAGTTGGCCTTCAAGGTGTATTCTTTTAGTATCTAATTAAGAAAGGAAAGTGAAACATAAAGCCAAAGAGCTGAAAATAGACCTGGAAAGGGCAGGAGCCTGTCTGTCGATACACACCATACACATGGTGCTGAGTTTCTACACCCCCAGAGATCATGCCCAGCAGAGGCCTCCTGGGAAACAGAGAAAAGACCTCAGAAGGAAACAGAGAAAAGACCTCAGAAAAAACCTCACCCCTGGTCTTTCAGATTGGTGAACAACTGCCCAAGGAGAAATAAGCCCAGCATTTAGACCACGGCCTTGGAGGGGGTCTCTCAGTGGTCCACCTCTATCCTTCTTAGCAAAGACTGAGGAGAAGAGGTGAAAATGTTGGCAGTTCCCAAGCCAGGAAAAAACCATGGAAGATAGATGAGGTAGTGAGCTACAGGCCTCTTCCCAGGAATCTCATACAGGTTAGTAATCATTGCATTTGTTTATCTGGTTTTTAGGAGAAAGGGTTAGTAGAGAGGTAGATAAGCTGCCATCTGTCACAAGTGGTTTTTTCAGGCAGGAGCAGAGGTTAATCAGAGGTGATAGTTCCTGTTGGCCAAGACCTGTTTCTTCCCACCCCGCCACCCCCAGAGAAGCTAGCGGGGGAACCTCTTAAGCTGCAGTATCCAATATGGTCACCACGAGCCACCTGTGGCTATTTGAGCACTCGAATGTTGCTGTGTCAGATGTGCTATTAAGTACAAAATACACACTGGATTTTGAACATGTAGTGTAAGAAAATAAAGTATCTTATTACTAATCTTTATATAGATGACATGTTGAATATTTTGGATATATCATATAAACACATTGAATAATATTTGGGATATATCAGTTAAATAAAATCTATTATTAAAAGTAATTTCACTTGTTTAACTTTTTTAATGTGGCCGCTAGAAATTTAAATTATGTAGATGGCTTGCCTTATATTAAACAGTGCTGGACTGGACCGGCAAATCTACACACACGCACACACGCATGCGTAAGTATGTAAAATTTTCTCCATCTTCCCACCCTGTGCATAAAATAATTAATGTCCTCCTTCTGCTAGTCTGTGGTCTTCTTGTACTTTGAGACTCAATCAGGCCTTTCTTGACTGAGCACTTCCCATGGCCCAAATACCACTATGTAGAAATAAGAGAGGCTACTTCTACTTACTTTGGTTTTCTTACAGCACTTCGGTCCTCACTATTGCACATGGTGTTGGCCTGTCTTACCGCTCCACTTGAGGTAGAAGCCACTTTAGGGAAAGAAGATCATATAAGAGATTCTTTGTACGTCATGGTTTCTGCTGCACATGGCTTCACTCTGCTTTCAGTTGGTGATGCCAGCAATTATTTGGTGACTAGCCACTCTGCCCACATATACCACCACTACATTTTGCCCTTTCTGAAATATATCCCAATTATTCATTTTCTAAGAATCTAAAATCAGGAGTAGAGCTCTCCCTTTATAAAGTCAATAATCTTTTTATGTAGGGCAGCTAAGCATTGAGTGCAGAAGAATAAGAAAGAGGGAGAGCTTCGGGATGGTGGAAAGAGAAAAGACCTTGGAAGAAGTAAGGTTTGGAAGCTTCATTTCCTCCTGGAGAGCAACTCCCCAGAATGGGCCTCCAAAGTCGTAGGGTTAACCCCCCAGAGTTACCTCACAGGACAGAGATGTGCCCACAGTCACCCAGCAAGGATGGCTCAACGCAAGCTCCCACCTCTTCTCCCCTTAACCCTGCCTCTCCTTTCAGATGGAAACCTTCCATCTGGGGACCACAAACTAAGCAAATGGTTGGAGGCATTTTGCTGCCTGCAGCTGTCTCCCCAATTGCTGACTGGGAGGAGGAGTAAGGGGAGTTCATTATAATTCATTTTTGTGAATGTTCAATATTTCAATTAATGTGATTAGCCCCAAGCCTGAATGAGCAGCAGGGCAGCAGATCTGCTGACAAGACACAGAGTAACAAGATCAACAGGGCCGTGGGGTCTTCCTAGGCTCCATCCTTAGAAGATGTGATCTGTTTAGCATCTCCATAAATACTAAGATCTGATTAGGAGGCAAGGCAGGGAGCAGTGAGGGTGGAGTCGGGAGTGGAAAGTCACTTTCCAGATGTGCTTGCACTCTTGGTTCCCTGGCACTGCCATCCCATGTTCTGACCACCCTGTACTGGGTCCTCTACCATCTCCCCCTGTGCCCATCTTAGGGGCCCAACTGGGGGGACCTGGGCATCCATATGATGAAGTGTAATCATATTTACACACACACACACACAAACCCAGGCTAAGGAAGGAGGGAAGGTGGTCAACAGAGAATCAAGCAGTAGAAAGAAGATCATCTCTCACACAGGGCTCAAATGAAGACACAGGAAAAAAGCCAGGCTTAACAACTCTTCCCATTCCCATGGGGAGCATTTGATGTAGGGGTTAAACTCAGGACTCAGGAGCCAGACTGCCTGGGCTCCACCCTCACTAAGGCCTCTTTCTAGCTCTGTAACATTAGGCAAGCCATTTTATCTCTTGGTGCCCTGGTTCCCTCATCTTTATTTGGAGGTAATGGTAGAACCTACATCATAGGCTGGTGCTGAGGGTTAAACAAATTAGTAAATATAAAGCACTTGGAAAAATGTCTGGGACACTGTAAGTGTCTTCTAAGCACCCTTACTATTACTTCCCTTCCTGAAGAGAAGTTTGCCTGCCGTGATAGCTGAGGAATGGGGGTGGCTGGGATTCAGTTGGGACGTATTTCGTATTTCAGAGACACCAGTGCCACTGTGGAGACATCAGCCCCACTCTGGAATGGAGAAGGAAATGACAGTAGAGAGGGCATTCCACAAGGGCTGCAGGCAAGGACTGTCCTGTCCAGGAGAGTTGATGTCAGCAGGTACTCCCTGCACTGAAGGGTGCTGTGAGTGGGCCTAGCACATGGAAGAATTCAGCTCCCTTGAGATTATGGGGGAAACAGATCATCCGTAGAAGAAGAGTTGTTTAGGAGAGTAATGACCCCCAAATGCACTCCCCCCATCCCTTTTTGTTATCTGATTCACTTTAAGGGTCCTACTCGAGGAACCTAACTGGGAGAGGAGGGCAAAGGGAGGAGAAATTGGGTTTCTTCTGCCCTGAACCAGAGCTTGCCTGCTGTGGTTCTCCCCCACTAAAGGAATCAGGGATCTGCTCTTGTCAGAGGTTCTTTTGCATCAACTGTTTATTCAAAAAATAATTGTTAAGCAACTACGCATGAGCAAGACACTGTGCTAGACCCCAAACAGTAAAATGCTGAATTAAACGGTGCTCTGGTCTTCAAGGAGCTTACAGTGATAACTCTCCCAGTCCTCACCACCGCCACCTCCCTGCCCACGCACTTACACACACAAACCACCCAGAGGGAGAGAAGGGGGCGTTGGCAAATGCCAGCAAGACAGTTTTTCTTGGATCCTTTTCTGGAAAATACACAGTTCTCTCTCTCTGCGCTCATTTCACCCCCGCTCTCTCCTTCCCCGCCCCCCTTTTCATCTTTCCTCTCTGGGTCCCCTTCTGCCCTTTCCCCCGGGCTCTGAGACTTACTTCCCACCCCATCCACACCTCCCTCCTCCCCCCACTCCCAACCTGCCCAACTGTTCCTATACCATTTTCTTTTCCCCGGATTCTTTCCTATACTCCCCACACTCAGTCTCCCCAGATGCCGGCTCCCCTCTCCTCCTCCCCCCTGCTCCCCTCTCCTGGGTCTTCGCTTCCAGCACCGGGGACAGCTCCAGCCCCCGGAACAATGGACCCCACCTTAGGGCTCCTCTATAAATTCTCCATCTTAGTGTCTTGCCCAACTCGTGATTGGGGAGTAAGATGGGGGAAGGGTTATTATCAACAGGACCAGCCGCTCTTCTGGGGGCGGGAAGGGAGTCAGGAAGGAAGGAGATAGAAAGAGGGCGTGGCTCTTGTCTGGATTGTGCGTCCCTCTCCAGGGTAGAGAATTTGTATTCCACCCCTGAGACTGACATCACTGATGTCAGGGGAAAGGAGGTGGGAGTGGGGAGGGGGGTGTGGAGGGGGGAGGTTTTTGTTGAGGAGAGCGCGGCCGGAGAGCAGAGCTCCGGGACCCAGGTGACCGGGAAAGCAGGCAGCCCCAGCAACGGGAGCAGCCAGCAGCAGCCCAGGCCCGGGGACCAGGGTGGGGGTGGGAGGGGGGCTGAGGGGAGGACCTGAAGGGGGGCGGCAGGGCAGAAGGGACCCCCGGAGCCCTGCCGCCATCAGAGATCAAGCATCTGGCATCAGGGATCTTCGGACCCAGCAGAAGGATCAGCCACAGGGGAGGTGTCCTCCCGGGAAAGCCAACGAGAGCTCCACCTGCCCCACATCAGGAGTGCCCCCCCCCACCCGACGCTGCTGGCAACCTACCAAGCCCCTAACCCCTAAGCCTCCTTCTCCATCACCCTCCTCAGGCCCTTTCCCCGACTCCAGCTCTTAACCCCCAGTTCCCAGCACCCCTGATACCACCCTAATCCTCCAGATCTTGAGCACACTGACCCCCTTCCTGGGATATTTGCCAAATCTCTGGGAGGGAGATCATTTGTTTGGGCTATGCCCCCTGGTGGCATGACAGTGTCTGCCTAGACCCCTGACCCCTAGTCCTCAACTCCCTGGGCCTCCTTTGTGTGAAGAGCTGCCCCTCTCCTCAGCACTGTGGTTGGGGGCCAAAGGGAAAGCCAGCCCCGGCTGGGCCCCGGCCCCCACCACTTGCCTCCTTGCTGGGCAGCTCCCCTTGGCCTTTGGGCTTCTCCCTGCTCCCCTCGGCCCCTCCTCCTGGGCCGCCCCAATGAAGGAGCCGGATGCCATCAAGCTGTTTGTGGGGCAGATCCCGAGGCATCTGGAGGAAAAGGACCTGAAGCCCATCTTCGAACAGTTTGGTCGGATCTTCGAGCTGACTGTCATCAAGGACAAGTACACCGGGCTGCACAAGGGTGAGGGGTCAGGCCAGGCTGGAGAGGTGTCAGGGGTGGGAGGGGAGGCTGGGAGGAGAGGAAGCCAGCCTGGAGGGCTGGAGTGGCTGGAAAGGGCTGATGTGGAAGGAAAGATTTCAGGGGCTAAGGAGTGGATGGAGGACCTGGAAGAGAACAGCCAGGGTGAGCTGTGCAGGCCTAAAGACAGCCTCTTTGGGGGAAGAGTTGTCGAGGGTATGCAGAGATGTGGATCCTAGAGATGAGAGGGTAGTGTCGTGGATGAACTCAAAGGAGGATGGAGGACCAAGAGATCTGGTTTGGGAGATAAGGAGCCGGGCAGGGATGTGTGTGTGTGTGTGTGTGTGTGTGTGTGTGTGTGTGTGTGTGCGCATGCGCGCGCGCCTGAGAATCTTAGTAGTCTCAGACACTATTGGGGTGGGGGTCAACCTGGCAAGAGTGGACATGGACTGGGCAGGGCAGCTCCAGGACCCAAGAGAGGGACCTGAGAAGCAGGGTGTGGAGGACAGAGACTGGTATAGATCTGGGAAGTGTGGGGGCAGGAAGTTAAGAAAGCCTGGACAAGGGGCACTCCTTGGGCCTGTCCAGGGCTCTGCGCTCTTGCTAAGCAGGGTCAGGCCCCGGTCAGGACTTGGAGAGCTCCAGGCACTGGGGATGGGGCTCGGGGTGGGGGGGGCCCACTGCTTCCCCCTGCACTGGCCTAGGGACTTGCGGTGAACTGCTCTCCCCTTTCCTTCTCCTCTATCCCACTCTCCACCCTCCACCTGCCTCCTGTGGAGTTGGAGAGAGATGAGGAAATAGGGAACATGGGAGAGGAGAGGGGTGATGGGGACCAAGATGGAGGGAGGTAGAGGCAAAGGAGAAGGGGAAAAGAGGCCAGCGAAGGAAGAGACCACACCGCACACACTTGTCTGACAACCACATGCCCCTTCTCCCCCCACACAAAGCCCCCTCTCCCAACAGTCCCCTCTCCCAATGCCACCACCACAGAAACCTCCCGGGCTCTGAGTCTCTGCCCTGAGTTCAGCAGCCCAGAGACTGTCTAGCCCCTCGCAGATACCTTCCCACTTCAGCAGCCAGAAAGTGGCAAGAAGAGAGACAAGCCTCCCAGTCCTCAGTCTTATGGTTGGGGGAAGCCTTTTAGGGAGGGGAGATCAGGGACTCACCCCCACCCGGTCTCTCTGCCCCTGCCCCTCCTCAGGATGTGCCTTCCTGACATACTGTGCCCGCGATTCAGCCCTGAAGGCCCAGAGCGCCCTGCACGAACAGAAGACGCTTCCAGGGGTGAGTCCCATATTTGTAGGGCCAGAGGGCTGAGAAGGGCCCTAGAAGGGGCAGGGGGCTCACCACCTTCCTGAGACATGGAGCTCATTTTCTACCTCCTCTCATCACCAGGAAGCCCCCCTCTCCTTCTAACACCCCTCTTTCTTGCTAGAGATGCATTCATTTCTTCTACCTGGAGAGAAGGAAGAGAGCGATTAGCAGAGCAAATGTGACCTTTGTAAGGAGCAGATGCCGCCCCTTCCCCACTTCCCAACCTGCTCGTGGGGCAACATGTAGAGAGAGAACTTAGCTGGTGGGGAGGTGTGGGGACAGACTCTGGACACCAAGTGTGTGGCAAAGTAAGCAGGAGGCACCCAGGCACTCTTGTGGCTCTGAGGGTGGGATGTCTGGCTGTGACATGGACAGCTGGTGCCTGCTGGACTAGCATCTCTGTGCGGGCTTCTGAGCTCTGACAGACTCACCTCGTGTCTTCTAGGAAGAGCTTTGGGCATCAGGGTAGAGCAGGGCCTGGGTGGGCCTGGGCTGGGGGGCAAGCAAGGGCAGGGGCAGACATCATTGCGGAAGATCAGGCCTGACCCCCAAAGTGTGCCCAGGTCGGCAGGGGTGCCCTCTGACATGGCCTTTCTCCTGAAAACATGAGCTCTTTTTCTCTTCTTCTGAGACAGCCTTGCAGATTGCCCCAGGCCCGGGCTGGCAGGGATAGAGAATCTCAGGATGCCTCCAGCCAGGCAGCCTTGGGGGGGAGAGGATGTGCCATTCTATTCCACTGTCTCTGTACTTCTGTTGTCTCCCACCCCCTGAGCCCCAGGACTGAGAGCTCACCCCGTCCATCCCTTCAGCAAACATTTGCTGAGCACAGCCTGGGTGCTGGAGGCACACGTTTCACAGCCTCTAGCCCTCTCCCCATGTGGGAAATGGAGAAAAAGGCTGATTCTCCATCCCTTCCTGGGAGGGAAATAGACAAAACAGATGGGCAAAGAGGCTGGGGGCATCCAGGAACATCAGAACCACTTCACCCACTCCCAGCTTCCAACCTTCAGAGGTCTAGGACCCACTCCCTCTGTGGCCCTCAACCCTTGAAGATGGCCCGGAGAGCAAATCCCGCTGCCCGCCTGGCTCTCACCCCTCCGTCTTGTCCTAGTTGGTGGCAAGCCAGCCAGAACAGCCCTGGCCCATGGAATTAAGGATCTGTGCATGCGTGTGTGTGTGTGTGAGCAGGCTCGGGATCCAGGGAGCCTGTGTGTGCGCGTGCGTGTGCACATGTGTGCGCGTGCGCCCGCCAGCCTGGCTGTGTGGGTGTGGGCACACGCATCCCTGGGAAGCCTGGTTTCCATCACGTCACGTCGCAACTTTCCTTTCTTCCCTTTTCTCTGTGGAGACCCCTGACAAATCAGTAGTTTTCATCTCCGTCGCCACGTCTCGTCTTTTTCTGTCTCGCTAGCCGGGCACCTGCCCTGGGTCGGCCCCCTCCAGCTGCCTGCATGCTCAGGCAGGGCTCCAACTGTCCGGGTGTGGAAAGGCTCTGCCTCCCCTTCCTGGAAACAAACAGGCCCAGGGTGGGAGGTGAGGGAGAAGGGCACCTGGTTAATGAGTGTCTAGCCCTGCCCCTGAGCCAGCTCCCAGGTGACGCTGAGGCCTCCACTTTGGCCTTTGCCTCAGGGGACAGGGTCCAGATTGGCCTGACAGAGCCTCTAGCATAGGAAATGGGGGGAGGGTCCCATCCTCCAAGGGGACCCAGGTGCTAGGGGCTTGAGGGAGCAAATCAGGGCAGTGTAGGGGAGCAGATGTCTGTGGCCAGGCTCTGCCTGACCCTTTTTATCCCCCAGGTCTTTTCTCTGCCACCTGCCTTCCTGGCAGTGTTGTTTCCTCAAACAGTCTTGGCTTTTTAGTGTGCCAGCTCTCTGGGAAGTTCTTCCTGCTGTCTAATCTCCCTCCACACCCTCCTAATACAGGCTTTTTTTTTTTAATATTTTATTTTTAAGTAATCTCTACACCCAACGTGGGGCTCGAACTCACAACCCCGAGATCAAGAGTCACATGCTCCACCCACTGAGCCAGCCAGGTGCCCCAGTACAGGCTCTTTTTTTGTGGGGGCGTTTAGCTCTCTCTCCTTTCTCCCCATCTCTGTCACCCTGGAATCTGCAAGGTGCCACCACATTAGGGTGATGCTTGGGCTGCAGACAGGAAGAATGGAGGCTGGGCCCGTGGCTGTCAAGCCCCATTTCCTTTTCTCTCCCCTGATCATTCCCAGGAGGGGCTCAGCCACAGGCCCCTGGATTCTCCCTGCCCAGAGAATGGTGGTGGTGGTGGTGGTGGGAGGGACTGGAGGTGGTGGTGGGAGGGACTTCTTCTGCCTAGCCTGCCCTAGCCCCTCTCCTTGGGCCAAAATCCCACTCTAGGGATGTGGGCCCTCCCTGTCGGCTTGCTGTTGGGCCAGTGAATTCTGGCCCCGTGGAAAGGACCCGTGTGTGGTCTGGGACACTGGGTGGAAGGGAGTCCGGAGCCAGGGGTGAGAGAGCAGCAGGCCTCTATCCTCAGGAGAATTAGATTTTCTAGAAATATAAGCTCTTCCTGGCAGTGGGGTCTTTGCTATTGGTGAGAAGGATGAGGGCCTTATGCGTGACCAAGTTGGTGGGGAGCAGTCTGAGTGCTACTTGGAGTATAAATAGCCTCTTCTTCTTTGGGAGGCCCTAGGGAGGGCTTATCACCTGGCTGGTGGTGGCTAGGGAAGAGAGGCGCCCGACTCCGGGTTGCCAGGTAAACAGGGCCCAGCTGGACTCAAGGGAGGGGGCAGGTGTGCCCAAGCTGAGCTAACAAAGACCGAGCTTCCCACAGGAAGTGCCAGGCCAAGAAGGAGAGCCTGGGCCTGGGTCACTGAGGGCCACTGAGGGAGGCTGTCTATCTGTAGGGGAGTGAGGGGAGCCTTCTGTCAACGTGGTCTGCACTGCAGCCTGTGCGCTTGCGTGTGTCTTTGTGTGAATCCCTATCAGCTGTGGATATTTACTGAGGTGCTATTTTTGTGTCTGGAAGCCCATGCAGCAAGGGAATGGCATCCTTTCTCTCTGGGTCTCAGGTTCCCCACCCTCAACTAGAACCGCAAATCCCTAGGGGCATTTTGGGAAGGGGTTAGTGTCAACTAAAGAACTCCCTGATGCTATGGAAAGACCCTGATTCGGATTCTACCTCTTCCGTAGGGGGTGTGGCTGGTGCTGAGATGCCCGTGGGGCACCTCCTGATAGCTTTACAGAGAGGAGGAGGGTGCAAGACTGAGAGCCCTGGGCATCTAACCCCCACCCTGTGCACACACACCTCTCTCTCTCTCTCTCTCTCTCTCTCTCTCTCTCTCTCTCTCTCGCACCCACACATGCACACAAGCTCCTGAGGAGATTGAACCTCCATGGGATAATCCCAGATTGGTGGAGGATAAAGCTGGGAGCAGATTGGCTGGAGGATTTGGGTGACTGTTACCCACCTCCCCCTAACCAGCTGCTCTCAGATCCATAAATGGGGGTGGGGCAGGACAGGAGTGTCAGCTGAGGTGGGGCTTAGGTTTGATCCAGGGCTGGGGATACCTCACCAGCAGAGTCCTGTCAGACTGACTGGAATGGCCTGATACCAGGGAGGAGGGTCTGGTGTGAGAAGGGGCAAGGGGCAACAATCAATCCTGCACTTCTCTGTGTATGAAGTGATGACACAAGATCCCCAAAGGCTGGAACACTAGAGCTGAGGGGAACCTGACTCACCACCACCTGATCTGCCCCACTGTTTTACAGATGAGAACATTGAGGCCCTGAGGAGAGAAGTGACTTGTCCAAGGTCACCCAGCTAGTGAGTGGTAGGGCCAGTCCCTGAACCTGGGTCTCCTGACCCCCAGTCCAGTGCCTTGCCTGAGGATACCCGTAGCCCCCCTCAGAATGTCGATAAATGGTTTCTTTTGTTTAATATCTATTTTTGGTCACTGGAGCTAGGATGGCCCCTCAATAGCAAAATATCTTCAGACACGAAAGCCTGAGTCCTTCCACTCCCTCCAGTTCCGAAGATGCTCCCCGCTAGTTAAGGAAATCAACCTGCAGAAGTCACTGCTAAGTCCCCTCACCAGACAAGAACGTGGAGAGTGGAACTGGGGGGTGTCTGCATTTCCACTGGAGGCTGAACAAAGGGAAATGCTGCAGGAGTGAAGAGAAGGGAGAGCTCTGGAGGACTTCGGGGTACAGGGAGAATGTCAAAAGAGCACGGGATAACAGTTCCTCCTTCGGAGCCCTCCCAGCTGTGAGACACCAAGGATTTGATTTGGAGGAGGAAGGCAGAGGAAGGGACAGTGTGGCCCCGGCAGGGCCTGCTCAGTGCGAATCAGGAAGCTTGTCCTGGGCCCCTCCCCCACCTCCCAGCCCCCACCAAATCCTCCACCCCCAACATACCCTGTTCTCACCCCCCCACACTCCTTCACCGGGTGTGTGGAGCAGCAGAAGTGATGACGTCACCACGGTCGCCAGGGCGACGGGAGGGATAAATCAGGCTGAGTGGGCGGTTGCCATGGCGCGCATTCTCCCGTTGCCACGGAGACTGGGCATCTGCTCCCTTTGTGCTGCCCGAGTGCCTTCCCCCTGGGGTCAAGGGTTTTGGGGGGAAGATAGAGAAGCAGACACACCTCTAGGGGTCAGAAGGAAGGCGGGGCATCTGTGGGGTGTCCCTGGGTCGACAGTCCTCCTTGGGGCTGCTTATTGGAGTGGCCTCTGTTGCGCCTACTTTGCAAAATTGAGGCAGCTCTTGCTGAATAGCCCCTTGGCTGGGCTCTGTCTCAGGACCCAGGTCCTACGGGAAGTTCCATTCTCCCCCTAAAGCCAGCATCACTTATCCCTGGCCAAGTCACCTGGGGCCTCACCGGAGCCTGGAGCTGGCCCCAGGAGCATCCTCTACATCCTCACCTTCCGCTGCCTCTAATCCCCTTGGGTCCTAATCCTAAACAAGATTAGGCCCATCCCTTCCTTCCCATCAGCAGTTTAGGGCCTGGGGTTTACTCCCTCTGGCCTCTCTGCAGGTCCCGTCCTGGGGAGGGCTCCTGGGAGGTTCAGAGGAGGTCCCCAGCAGTTGCCTTCTCTTCTCTCCTTTTAGATGAACAGGCCCATCCAGGTCAAGCCGGCCGACAGCGAGAGCCGAGGAGGTAGGTTCTGTACCTTTGGACTTTGGACTCAGGCCCAGGGCTTGGAGTAACTGAGGGTCAGCCTCTCTGAGGAAGAAAATCTGAGAATTCCAAAGGGTTCCTGGTCAAGGTGGGGACTGAAGTCAGTGTGGTCAGAGGGGATGTCATCCAGCCCATTGTAGAGATGGTAAAACTGAAGCACAGAGTAAAGTGCAAGACCTTCAGGAACTGGACCGAGCACTCTATGTAACTGTGCCCCATTTCCCCAAACATCACCGGTGTCATATGTTAGAAGCCTTAGTCGCAGGGTGAGGGGAGTGCCTGGACCTCCAGGGAGTTGCTGAAGGTGAAGGGCAGGATTTCTGCCTGTCCCAAGCGGGAATAGGGTTGGTAAAGCAGCCAGGGGGCCCTGAACATGCCCTTCCTCCTGTGCCTTACCCCCCAGAAGACCGGAAGCTCTTTGTGGGGATGCTAGGGAAGCAGCAGACAGATGAGGACGTCAGGAAGATGTTTGAGCCTTTTGGGACCATAGACGAGTGCACTGTGCTCCGGGGGCCAGATGGCACCAGCAAAGGTACCCAGTCGCTACCCCTTCCCCAACCGGGCCTTCTGGCCTTCCTGCTCCTCTCCTACTGGCTTCCCGGCAACGGGGACAGTGGGGGCCCTCGAGGGTGAGCACTCACCCTTTCCTCCTTGCTCTTGGATGCTGTAGGCTGCGCCTTTGTGAAGTTCCAGACCCACGCCGAGGCCCAGGCGGCCATCAACACCCTTCACAGCAGCCGGACCCTGCCGGTGAGCCCCCCTCACATTCACATTTCAGATGACATCTCCCCACCTCGGGCCCCTGTCCCTGTCCCTCACATCTAGTCGGCATGCCTTGCCCTCCTCCCCGGCCTCCTCCACCCCTCAGGCTCTCCATCTCCTGTCTCCTGTACCCCCCAGCCTCACTGGCTGGGTGTCAGAACACTTGCTTAGAGGCCGCACGTGCCCTCTGCACATTAGCAGTGGGTCAACTGACTGTACTCGTGGAGGGCTCTCCAGCAGGGCAGAGTTCTCAGATGGAACTAGCTGATTCTGAAGCTCCCTCAGCAGAGGCTGGGCAAGCATTTAGCAGGAACTTGGTCAAGAGGATGCGACAGTGAATAGAGAACTGCGTTCTAGATTCCAGGATTCTACAACACTCTGCAAATGTTCTTGGGTTTGGTTTTTATTTAGTGCAAAGTGGTATGAAAACTTGAGGCTTCATCCTCTGAGCACACGGTGCGGGGGCTGGGGTGGCTAGCCGACACCACCAGCCTGGGATTAAATATTCTCTGTGGCCCTTCCAACCTGGGGATAATTTCTGGCTCAGAATCCTCACAGAGAAGCCAGGGATGCCCTTTGGATTCCAGTAGGTCTTTCCCTTTTCAAGCACATGTCTTTGAGTTCCTCAACTTTTTCTAGTCTCTTGCACATCCTGGCACAGGGGGAGGCGGGGATTAAAATCTTCCTGTTTGACAGAGGCACTATGATGGCTGCCCTCCCAAAGAGGCCAAGTCTGGAGGGGTGGAACTGAGGCCAGGCCCTGAGGGCTCTGGGGATGAGAAATCCCGACTCTGTCCCTCTAACCACATGCGTGGCCCCTGCCCAGGGTGCCTCATCCAGCCTGGTGGTGAAGTTTGCTGACACGGAGAAGGAGCGAGGTCTCCGCCGAATGCAGCAGGTGGCTACCCAGCTGGGCATGTTCAGCCCCATCGCCCTGCAGTTTGGAGCCTACAGCGCCTACACCCAGGCCGTGAGCACTGACCCCTGGGTGCTGGGCCTGGCCAATCCCCGCCTCCTCCTGGCCTCCAGGACCTGTCCCCACCCTTCCAGTGCCAAGGCCCAGGGCTGGGAGGGGAACCAGGCTAGGCACAGGTGACCTGGCCCCACTCTCCTCTCTCCCCCTTCCCCCAGCTGATGCAGCAGCAGGCGGCCCTGGTAGCGGCTCACAGTGCCTACCTCAGCCCCATGGCCACCATGGCTGCCGTGCAGATGCAGCACATGGCCGCCATCAATGCCAATGGCCTCATCGCCACTCCCATCACCCCATCCTCAGGTAAGGCCCAGGCAAGGCGGGCTGGGCTGGGTGTGAATGGGACAGGTCAGAGGAGCTGCCGCCCGGGGTGTAGGAGGGTGGGGGGGTGGGACACAGGGCACTGCTCAGGGAAGCCAGAGGGTCTGGAAGGGACTCAGGGGTGAGAGAGTGGCCTGCTTCCTCCCTTCTGCCTGCAGACTTGCTGACTAGTGTGTGTGTGTGTGTGTGTGTGTGTGTGTGTGTGTCTACTTCTCCGCTCTGTCTCTGTCGCTTTCTCCTCCCTAGGAACCAGCACCCCTCCTGCCATCGCTGCCACGCCCGTCTCGGCAATCCCTGCTGCCCTGGGCGTCAACGGCTACAGCCCGGTGCCCACCCAGCCCACCGGGCAGCCTGCCCCTGATGCTCTCTATCCCAACGGGGTTCACCCCTACCCAGGTGGGGGTCTCTGCCTGCCCCCCTCTCTCCCCAGCAACTATCAAAGCCGCTGCTCCCATTGCCCACAGAAAGCCATGGCGCCCCCTCCCTCTCCAGGCCTCGGGGTGATAAGCTGCTCTCTCCTGCTCTGTCATCCTTGGGCAGGGATGCTCTGCCCGTTCTCAGCCAGGGAAGCTGAGGCTTAGAGAAGCCCAGGGTTTGCACAGCCAGTCACAGACTCCACGCTCTGCCCTCTCCCCGTGGCTCTGGGCCTTTGCACGCTCTCCCGTCACACCCTGTGCCCTGTGAGGCTATCCTCCCCACCTGCCTGGCCTTTGCTCTGCGTCCTGCCCCACCCTCACAGTCGGTGCTGCTCTCCCCAGCCCAGAGCCCCGCGGCCCCCGTGGACCCCCTGCAGCAGGCCTACGCAGGGATGCAGCACTACACAGGTGAGGAGCCCAGCATCCCCCCCACCCCGGATGGGAGGGACGGCGTGGGACCGAGGCTAGGCTGCCAGGTGCCCCGCCCTGCCAGCCACCCCCTTGGGCTTCCTGACATTAGGGGCAGTGCACCCAGAGTTCAAGGTGGCTCCTTCTCTGACCCCTCTCAGCCCTGTCCACCCCTGTCTACCCTGGGCTGCTGGCCAGAGGGCCCCGGGGGCCAGGCGAGTCTTGGGACCCCCACTAGCTCTCTGCTCTCCCACCGCAGCAGCCTACCCAGCAGCCTACAGCCTGGTGGCGCCCGCGTTCCCGCAGCCTCCCGCCCTGGTTGCCCAGCAGCCCCCACCTCCTCCCCAGCAGCAGCCACAGCCGCCGCAACCGCAGCCGCAGCAACGGGAAGGTGCGGCCTGGGCGCCCTCCTGCTGGCCCAGACCCTTCTGGGACAGGAGCGCCCTTGCCCTGGGCTGGGGACTCCCTGTCGCCTGCTCGCAGCCTGCCTCTGGCCTCATGTGCGGGGAGAAAGCGAGTGGGGATGAGGTGTCTGGTGCCCTGGCCTGCACAATGGGGGCTGGGATGGGAGGGTCTGCCCCGGGCCTGCTTTCCGTGAGACGCTTGCCCCCGAGTGCTTCCCAATCACTGGGCTCTTCCTCTGTCTCTGCTACCACCCAGGCCCTGACGGCTGCAACATCTTCATCTACCACCTGCCCCAGGAGTTCACGGACTCAGAGATCCTCCAGATGTTTGTCCCCTTTGGCCACGTCATCTCGGCCAAAGTCTTTGTTGACCGGGCCACCAATCAGAGCAAGTGTTTTGGTAAGAATGTAATGATCCAAAAGATAAAATACGGCACATTTTTGCCAAACTCCAAATGTGGACAAGGTTTGAGACATTTGAAGGCATTTATGGTCACAGTGGGCCCAAACTTTGAAATCCAGATTGTCCAAGAGTTGGAAAGAGCCTTTCTTACACCCTCAGCATCCCATACCAGCTGCTGTCCAGGCCCAGCTCTTCCTCCAAAAACTACAGCTTTACCTTTTCTCCTTGAGCACTGGTCAAATTCATACTCCATGAGGTCTGGAAGAGGCTCAGGAACGGGATGTTTGGTTTTCAAAAGGAAGGCTTAGGGAGTGGAGTCTTTTGGCTTTGTGTCTTTGAAAAGTTGCTTCAAGGGCCTTGTCCTCCCTGCGTGAGAAGTCATGAAGGGCCAGAAGTGTCATTTTCAGAGTTATCCAGGCTGAGGAAGGGGCTGCCCTTTAAAGAGCGCTGGAAAGAATGTCCTAGTGCATGTGAGTGGCTGGACTGCATTCATTAACTCAACCTATCGATCAGCAGCTACCCATCGAATGCCTACTGTGTGTCAGGTATTCAGGATCCCGGGAGGAAGTAGGGTGGTGCCGGGGAACCAAAGAGCAGGTTCTGGCCCTCAGCACAGGCAAGTGAGGTGGGGTTGGGCTGGGCCTTATGACCCTCTCACCTCAGGCTTTGTGAGTTTCGACAATCCGGCCAGTGCACAGGCTGCCATCCAGGCCATGAACGGTTTCCAGATTGGCATGAAGCGCCTCAAAGTCCAGCTAAAGCGGCCTAAGGATGCCAACCGGCCCTACTGAGGGCCCCCAGGTGGGTCCTGCTCCCATCCTGTGACCTCTTCAGCTCCCTCACACTGAAGCCAGGGCCCTCACTTGGACTGCCCCCCCACCCCCTGTTCCCCCAGCCTCAGGGATGCCCACCCCACCCCCACCTCTGACTCTGGGCACTTGAAGCAGGGATCTGGTATAGCTCCTTCCTTCTGCTGTGTTTCAATCACCTGAGTCATTCTCCCTCTCTCTCTTTCTCTCTCACACACATACATACACATACGCGCAAGCGTGCACGCACGCGTGTGCGCGCGCACACACAAACACACACACAAACTGTGACCCCAGAGAGAGCCAAGTCTGTCTAGATCTGTGTCCACTCCCCAGGTCTTCCTCAGTATCTGGTCTCGTTTGTCTGGTCAGTGTCCTTGTGTTTGTGTGTCTCTCTCTTTTTGGTTTTCCTTTGGGTCAGAGTTGAATTAGGGGAGTAGAGTTGGGAAAGGAAGGGGGCTGGTATAGGATACTGGAGGGTTCTAGAATCATGACTCCTGGAATATCTATCCTCCTGAGAGGTGGGGATATCAGACCCTCAGTGCCCTGGATTCCAGGTAGTATAGACCCTGGACTCCGATGTAGTATAGGCCCATGGGACAGTGGAGAGTGCACAGAACAGACTGGGGGGGAATTCCAAGCTTCAGGCCCCCCAGGAGAAGCTTCGATTTAGGTGGAGAAGGCCAAAATGCTGGACTGCCTGAATTTCACTAAATGGGTCCCCTCCGCCCCATTGTTGCCACCACCCTAGCCTCATGGCCACAGAGCTGTGAGCTTTAGTGACTTTTGTGTTTGTTTAATCTCCTTTGGACCAAACCCCTGAAAAAACACAACCCAAGAACAATACCCACATTTTCTGTTTCTCCCCCTTTCCCCCCCAATCCTGGCTGCTTAACTCCCCCCACCCTGGGGGCCCCCCCAGCCCAGGGCCCGTGTTCATTGTCGGCCGAAGCCCCCATCCCCGGACCCCTGCTCCGGGCCCCTGTAAGTTGCATGGAACGAGCGTGTTGTCTTTGGAGCCGATTGTTTGTTATTTGGGGAGGGGGCCGCGGAGGGAAGCGCCCCTCAGCCCAGGGTCAGGGCCGGGGGCAGCTCGCGGGATGTGCTTGGTCAACAGTGGTTGGTGACTGTGGTCTGTGTTCTGTGCCTTTCTCTCTTGCTTTCTTTGTTCCTTTCTGAAAAGGAATGAGAGCACTCTCTAGGGGCTGGGGGTCTCAGCCCTCAAGTCTGCAGCCCTAAGCCCAGCCCCAGGTCCTAGCCTGGCCACCCTGCTCTTCCTCCAGGTGTCTTGTCTGTCTGCTGCCCCTTCTTCTCCTTCCTCTTAGCTATCTCTGCCTGCCTGCCTGTTGTCTCACTCCTTTGCTTTGTCCCCTCCAGTCCCTGTCACCATATCTTCCAGCCTTTGTTTCTCTCACGGGCTGTGTGAATATCTCCTTCTGCATATCCTTTGGTTTCTTATATCATGGGCCCTCTCCGTCCCGTCTCCTCCATCATTGCCCCTTGTCAACAGCTGGGGGGCTCCGTCTGGACTGAGGCCTTTCCGATGACCTGTCTTCCCCAGGCGGCCCCATCCTATCCTGCGTCAGCCAGCCCAGCTACCTCCTCCCTGGCAGGGCCTATGACCTGCACTGGCTGTGTCTTCCCCACAGCTTCACCCGTGTCTCCTTCCTTCACAGGTCTGGAGACACCAGAGGAAGGGGCACCACACCCCTCTCCCCACGTCTGGTCCCAGCCCTCTCTGCACACCTGCCCGGGCCTCGATGGGGCTCTGGGGCAAAAGCTGCTTCACAGCCCTGGGGGAACAGGACACTGGCCCACTCCCACCACCCCGCCCCTCCTGAAGGGCCTGTTTCCTCCCAGGTGCCCTTTTGGCCTTTGTGAGGGAGCAAGGGACAGGCTCAAAGGCTCCAGGGTATCTGCCTTCTGCTGGGGCTCCTGTGGTGACCTTCTGTGCCCAGCTTTCGCACTTGCCTCCCCCACCAGCGGGCCTGTGGCCCCCGGGAGGGCAGAGGGGCCTCCCACAAGCTCCCCACCTCACCCTCACCCCAGCCTCTTCCCCACATTAGGGGTTTCTCAGAAGCTGGTTCTCACACCCCCTGCCACCCTCAGCTAGAGGTAGGATATCCCTGAACCCTGGGCTCCCAGCCCTAAAACTCACTGCCTCCCCCATGGGCCCCCTCTTAAGGAGGGTGTGGGGGAGCCCTGAGGGCTGCCTCTCCACCAGTCAGCCACAGAGACCCTCCTCCTTTCATGAGGAAAAGACCTCCCCCGAACCCCTAAAAATGTTTACAGTCTCTGCTGGTCCCCTCCGTGTAAATACCACTACCACCCGTGCGTTATCCAGCCCGGCCCGGCCCGGACGCTGCCATCTCTCTTTCTGGGAGTTTAGACAATGTTCCCCTTGGATTTTTTCTCTCTCTTGATTTCTCCCTTTGCTTTGGGGGTAATTGGGTATTTGGGAGGAGGGGTGTGGGGAGGGTTACAGGGGTTTATTACCTGATCATTTTCTTTAGGAAGAGGTTTTAGGGGAAAGAAACGGGTGGGGGTGGGAGTGGTAAGGGGAGACTGGGGAGTCCGTTTCAGACACTTCTCTATGCTTAACTTATTTATTTATTGCATTTTACTTTTAAAGAGTTGGTCTTTTCTGTCTAAATAAAGAAAAAAGTTTAAAAGCATCAAATAAGAGTCTTGGAAAGTTGACGGGAGGGGATTTTGCGCACTGGGGAGGGGATGAAAGGAGGGAGGTTTGGGAGAGAGACCTGTTGGGAGGGTCCAAGATCTTTGAGGGGTCCAGGCCTGGACCATGGCTTCATGATCCCATTCTTCCGCCCTTCCTTGAGGCTTAATCCTGGAATGCTCTGCAGCACTAGGCACAGAGGGAAGAAAGCAGGTCAGTGGGCCTCTCTTGTATCCAGCCCTGTCCCTCTGAAGGCTGGGGGTGAGTTGTCCCTGCACCTCCCAGTGGGGATACAGGGAGCTAAGCTTTTGCTCTGTGATTCTGTTACAGGCCTTTAGGGTACCTTTCCTCACTTAACCTCCCAACAACTCTGTGAGGCGGGATATAATTTTACAGACAGGTTAAAAAGGGCTTGGGAGGGTAACTGACTTATCCAGAATCACAAAGCTACCAAGGGATGGCTGCAGGAAGAAAGCCCTATATGTCAGACTCCAAAGCCCATGATTCTCTCATCTAACAGACTCAACTACCTGGTCTTTGACCCGAGGTAATGATCCCAACAAGTACCAAGCAGGCTGTCACAGCGAGTCCCATCACGCAGAAGGTGGACTGCATAAGCCCTGAGGTCCCTTCGATTCGGTTCTTAGATTCTTCTCAGTGAACTACTTTAGGGCTGGGTTCAGGGGGCTCACACAGGGGTAGTGTGTGACTTCACAGCACCTGGGCCACTTGCTTTTAGCAGCAACCTGCTACCCCACCCTCATTATGCCCCCCACTTTAAACTTGCTCACCTTCCAGCCCAGCCAGCCTTAGGCCAGAGCTGTTCCACCAGCGCACAAGGATGTGCGACTCCTCACCACCCACTCCCACCTCAGCCCCGTACTTTGGCCTTCTCTTAAACCACCCCAAACTGAGAGGAGTACAAAGAGAAGCAACATGTGAAGTACAATAGAAATATACCTGTGGATATTGTTTCAGGGAAAAAAAGTCTCTTAGATTGGCAGAGATCAGGGATGGGGCCTTACTCAGAAGGAAGAGAATCCTGGCAGGAGCATCTGAAATCTCGAATATATAGGGTGTGTGTGTGTGTGGTATATTGTGTGTGTGTCTGTGTGTTATACTGTGTGTGTGGTATATTGTGTGTGTGTGTGTGGTATACTGTGTGTGTGGTATATTGTGTGTGTGTGTGTGTCTGTGTGTTATACTGTGTGTGTGTGGTATATTGTGTGTGTGTTATACTGTGTGTGTGTGGTATATTGTGTGTGTGGTATACTGTGTGTGTGTGGTATATTGTGTGTGTGTGGTATATTGTGTGTGTGT